AGCCCCATATCTTCCAGAACGCTAAGGTCAAAGCCAAGTCCACGAGACCTGGCAAGGTATGTCGCGACACCCGTCATTATCCTCGTTCGAGGGGCAACGCCATTTGCTAATGATGTTCTTCTTCTTCAGGGTGGCCGTAGATGGTACAAGGATGTCGGTCTGGGTTTCCGTACCCCCAAGACCGCCATTGAGGGCAGCTACATTGGTATGTAAATTCGCGACTGTTATACGAATATTATATGAGAGGGGATTCGGGTTTCTGCACGGCCTCGCCAGTCGATCTATCGGAATTGCCTTGGAAGTTTCCCGGATTCATGAGGAGAAGGCGGCTTGGGCAACAAATTCCTAGTAAAGATGGGAGTAACAAGCTCGAAACTAATTCTGCTATCAACATAGACAAGAAGTGCCCCTTCACCGGTCTCGTCTCTATTCGTGGCCGTATCCTGACCGGCACCGTCGTTTCCACCAAGATGCACCGAACCGTTATCATCCGACGCGAGTACCTCAAGTTCATCCCTAAGTACGCCCGATACGAGAAGCGACACAAGAACCTCGCCGCCCACGTCTCGCCGGCTTTCCGTGTTGAGGAAGGTGATCAGGTCACAGTTGGCCAGTGCAGGCCTCTCAGCAAGACTGTACGTTGTCCCAATTTCACGTTGCGAGATCATGCACCCGTAATCCCTCAGAACATACAGCCATAAGCTAGGCCAAATTACTGACTTGCGCAAAATCCTAGGTCCGATTCAACGTCCTTCGTGTACTACCCCGAACCGGCAAGGCGGTGAAGAAGTTCAGCAAGTTCTAGGTTGGGGATCTTTCCTGGGCATCGATGGCGTTGTTACTTCATGGTTCTTCACGATCTCAGATATGGAACGGGTGATTCATAGGCGTTCTGCCAGGGCACAAAGATGCAGCATCGGCAGTTCTGAGAAATAAAAACGGATTTACAACCTCTTTACTTCCGCAAAAGTGTGGACGTGTTTGAATACTGCTCGCCAGCCATTTTTCCGAGCGCCGAGCCAAGCCAATCAGATTCGTGAGGCATTCCAGCTGGCTGGGGTCAGGACCCTCGGTTGTCCGAGCCTGTGTCGCAACTGGAGAATCTATCCCATATTCACACTCAATCGAAGCTTGTGGTATTCATGAGTTTACAAGTGATTTCCAAATCGTTATCCGCTGCTTCATCTCAGTCCGTTTATATTGGAGTTGCGTCTGCAAGGCAGGCAGGGAGACCGCCCAACAAGTAGCGGAATTATTCCCCTAGCTATGAGCCAATGGCATATTCGAAATTGGCCACCGTACCGACTGGTCTATGATATAGAGAAATTCCTCTTCCTCTCCACGACCTTTGCAAGTGTTACTTGTTCACTCTGGACCACCTTAACAATTACCCTATAATGTCTAGCAGGCGCACCGTAAAAGTTTTCATATAAGTTCCTAGGGATTCATACTAAGGTACAAGTATCTGTTCAGAGACCATGTTTTCCGTAGTTGAAATTGAGAGAAGTTATCCATGATACAGCTCATGTCGGGCCGGTTAATAAAATACCGATCACACCAATAAGTTAAACCTAGCTTCCACATCTTGTACGTATTGATGAAAAGTATAAGCTGATCCATAGAGGTTGTTATTAATTGTAGAAGCCACTACTAGCCAGCGCGATAGCAGTTAGGATACTTCGATACTATGTTAACGTAACTATATATAGTAGTATATTCTTATACCGTGTAGTTGTATTTCTCAGCGTCGTATATCCTCTACTAGCCATCCTTAATAGTTCACCGAAAGTCTAGCTTGAAATTATTAACCCAATCAATAATTCTCTAACTTTCTATCTCCTCTCCAGGAGCTCGATTCGGCGAGCCGCCGATCGAGAGGAGTGTAGGAAAAGTTTTCGACTCATCGTACGGATTATGATCTGGCTTCACCCTACGAACAAATCATTCCCCTTGTCCATATAACACTTGCCCTAGATGTGTACATTGAAATCTAGCCTAGAGGTAGAGCAGACCATTAAAAATCCACAAACAGGATCGTGCTTGGTCCTTTCCTCGATCGTGATTCCAGAGGCTATGGTTTCCATAAGCAATCGAGTATCGCCCGAGAATTCTCAACAACTGTAAATAGACCGAAATAACTCAAGTCACGATTAAAATGATATTATGTGTCGTGCCTTGAGAGTACTCGTGGAAGTCATTACTGATATAAGTTTCTGTTAAAAATGATAACTACCTCCGAGGATATTGAAATGGCATTTTCTAGGCCGAACCAAGAGTAACTTAGTAAGCACTTAGCTACCAGTGTAGCAACATTCTAAGCCCTATTCATAGACTCGGAGGAGAATTATATCATATAAATATACCTAGGTATGCACTCCATAATCTACAACTGTATCGTATTCGATTCACCCGTCTAGGCTTGGCACATCAAATCCATCGATTATACGGATGGATTATGCGCAACTCAAGCAAAGGGGTTATTACGTCAACGTAAGGCAGCATAGATAATTTGACGAGGTAGAGATATGGCTGACTTGTCCCTTATACCAATCTACCTAAGGAGTTACCAAGTAACTATGGATGCTATCTGGCGTGGTAGATATGAGCATATGGAAAGAATATTATAGTTAAAGGGACGAAGAGTGATGGATAACTACAACCGTCATATTTGACGATACGATTTGCTATTTCTATTTCTGTGATGAGGACTTTGCTATGGGACGCTTCAAGCGACTTTGGGGTTAATATATAAGCAAATGATGATGATACTGACTGTAGGTGATAAAGTGGATTGATATACATATACCAACCACATATGAGACTCTTGCCTACTCTACCTGATTTATTTACTAAATGGAGAGTAAATATGTTTGTTTGGTGATGGTCCCGAGGCTATATTAAGGACCAGTATAATACCCCTTTTCTACACGGGTGATAAATATATAGCACGCTATATCGTTTATTTATCGTGTTCACAGTTCTCACAGGCATTCGTTCCTCAAGGGTATTTAATATTAAGGGGTATTGCGGGGACATAGGGGAGATTATACGATCATGGCATACGAACTACATTGAAGTTATCATAGCTGGCTGTAGTCTCAATTGTTCTACGGAAGTGAAAACACAGATCTAAGTGCTTGCTTGATACACAGGATTGAAAAGGAGTTCTCTCTAGGGAGTGTTTGGGAGGTGATGAAACGGGTCCTAGATCGTACGACAACTTACTGCTATCGCCAATTAAGAAAAACAAGAGTTTGACTATTTCACAAACGTTGATCTCTTGAAAATAGTCGCGAAGAGAATACTATAGAGGACAACTTTGGAGTTATTAGGTACTATGTATTATGTAGTATGTAGTATTGATACTTGAACTATAGGGTTTATCTGCATAAAAATATCCCGATAGCGATAACGATAAGGAAATTCGGTATTACGCATTTTGTCTTTCAAGAGTTCTCGAAATGAGCTCTATGCGATTAATTGAAACCATTGTCTTTTTCCAGACCTTTTGATCCGCCATGGGCTGGTGGGATAGTCTCTGGGCGTCGAGCTCGAGCGGTGATGACCCGCTGCGGAAGCTCGACCCCAAGCTGCGCGAATTCCTCGAGCGAGAATCACCCGTCAAATACAGCGCGGCGCAAGCGGAGGCGGAGACCGCTGCGAAAGAGGAGGCTGAACGGGTAGCTACAGCTAAGAGGAAAGAAGAGCAAGCGGCGAGGGAAGAGAACCGGCCGGTAGTACCAAGGGAGAGCCAGTTCCAGGATGGGCGATATGCGCACTTATGGAAAACGTACCGACCGTTGGCCGAGATCGAAGCCGAGACCAAGAGCGACCACGAGAAGCTGATGGATGTATTGGAGGGCTACAAGGAGCGCAAGAACCAGATCGGAAAGGCGGCGCTCGAGAACTGCGCCCTCGAGCAGGTCGACTGGCGGCAGTGCATGACGAGTCCGACCGTCATGGAGCGTATGACTATGTGTCGCGAGCAAATCAAGAAGTTCGAGAAGTGTTATATGACACAAACTGTACGTATATTTTCATACTCCCTATTCAGTCTGCAACATCAAGAACTGTGCTAACCAATGTTTGGATTTGCTGTGTAATAGAGACTTTTAAAAGCCCTAGGCTATCTATCTACCTACGACCGCTCTCCCGAAGTTGAGGAGGACATCCAAATGCACGCCGACACGTTATACCACCGCATGCTATCACAAGAGGCCGAGATCGCCGCCGCGAAGAAGGAAGGACGCCCGATTCCGAAGTTCCCTCCGTTACTATCAAAGCTACCAACCGCGATACAACGACAACCACAACAACAGGAGGAATTGACGCCAGAGCAATTAGAAATATTAAGAGAAAGGCTGAAGAAGGTTGCGGATGAAGATCGAGTCGCGGAAGAGGAAGCTATCAGGGCAGAATTTCGCGCAAAGGCCGAAGTCGCGTCGAGAGTGCAGGACCTATGGAAGAAGCAGGAAGAGGACCGACAGGCGCGCAAGGAGAGAGGCGAGGAGACCCTATGGGACAAGCTCAGCGGGACTTTTCGCAGTGGTAACGAGAAGAGGTGACGATTCTCCCTCTATTCGGTAAGCAAACAGAATATCAACGCGGGTGCAGCGTCGAAGATACGGGCTACTCGAAGGATAGCCTAGGCCTTGGCTTGGAAGATCTAACCATTAACTTCCATACTCGGTCACGGTTCACTAGATGCAGTTGTATTATACCTGTATTGAACACCAACGCTTAAATACTACTACGTGAAATACGACTCTAAATGAACATTTTCAAACTCCAATAGTCACCGACGAGGATATTATGTGAAGTCTAGACCGAGCCCAACCTGGTAACTATGGAGAGGTCCTTCTGTCGTCTGTGCGACGTTTAATCCTGGTATTTGCCGGGGAGGTTGGATAAGAAAGTCTATTCTAGAAAAGAATTGAGAAAATTGAGCAAAAAAATTAGCTCCATCGAATACAGGATACTTGAAGAAGTGAAAAAAATTGAGGTCTCCCTGGGAATCGAACCCAGATTGCCGGAATCAGAATCCGAAGTGCTAGCCATTACACCAGGAAACCGTATGATTGGTGCATGCCTAGTAACTTCTAGTTATGCTCTATATGGTTTGCTCTCGCTGCCAGTCTATTCTTATTGGCGTGCTCCTAGTGCGCCCACACACCATAGAATTATGCTAAAAACTACCTAGAGGTAGATTGTAACCACCCAAGATCACTATCTCTAAGTAGTAAGATAAAAGTTCTACAGTATCTCGTAGCATGTCTCTGGAAAGGGTCTTAATATCTGGGTTTGATGCTCCTGTCAAGTATTAGGATCATGGTATTGGACAAGGTAGCGACTAATACTAATCTAGATCTACAATCACTATTATGTTCAATCGAAGCAGAAATCTACGCGATCGCGAAACTAGCGATCATCACCGCGTTCACTCCATCGGCATCGAGAAGATTTAAATTGGTGCCCGCTATTTGTCTGGTCGTTCACCTAGCAAAGATTTTCCTGCGGCTATATCGGGACTTCAGAGCGGATTCTGAAATAATCTAATTCACAACCTGATCTATATATTCAAGCACACCGCCATCGGTCTTCAAGGTCGCGTAATTCTCCAACGTCAGCACCGCCTCGATCTCGTCAATATCCGGGACCGGGCGCCTCTCGTAATTGACCGGGCCATCCAAGATGGAATGCGGGATGAACATGGAGCCGTTCGTCGTGATCGGCGTCTTATCCTCGCGGACGCCCATCCCGGCGGGTTCGCCATCCACCATCCAGAGGCCCAGGACGGGGTAGTACGAGGTGTGCTCCCGGTCCTTGAACTCGGGCAGCAGCGCGAGCTCTTGCACGATGTACCCTTCCTTGCCGTAGAACCCCGTTTTCGAGTCCTGGATCACTTGCCCGTTTGCCTGCAGCAGGATGTCGGCCCCCTCGCGGGCAAAGATCGGCTTCCGCGCGAAGCTGGTGAGCGACGCCGGCGCCTCGTTCTCGAAGTAGGTGGGGAGCAGCCACTTCGACCGGGGGTCGTCCTTGAAGAGATCCCAAAGGAGTGCAAACAGAGCTTTGTTGCTCCACAGCATCTTGTATGGCGCCTCGATCCACTGTATCGGTAAGGGTCAGTCGTTGCGCAAAAGAAATATGGGGAACTCGGGTAGTTTGCGGCGGCAGCAGTGGCTCCTCAATCAGCTTGATTAGGAAGGTCTGGTCGCCGCGGTGGGCCGAAAGGGGATGAAGAACTCTTGCTGTTACTTACCACGGTCCCTCCGACGTACTCTCCAGCGGCGTCGCGTTTGCCGATATTCTCCATGTCCTGGAAGCATGCCTCTCCGAACTGCTGCTCGACCATGAATTCCCAGGGATAAAGCTTGAAGATCACGTCGATGTGCTGCCCCTGCGGATCGTAGAAGCGCCCGTCGCGCGACAGAGCGATTTCTTCCACGTACAAGGTCTTGGTGCGCCATCCCGCCTGCTGGCATGTGTCCATCAAGAGGGTGGTGTTCATAGCATCCTCTCCAGTCGGTTCTCCGCGTCCGACCGCGAAATGCACGGTGGGGCGATGGCCCAGCTGCTGCTCGATCAGAGCAAGGTTCCGTTTCCATGCCTCGATGAGCCTCTCGGTAAGCGAGTTGAACTGATCATTGCCGTGTCCGGTTTGCTCGAGCCAAAACCACTGGATGGATGCCGCTTCTACGACCGACGTGGGCGTGTCCGCGTTGAACTCGTAGAACTTGGGCACTCGGAGCCTCGGGTCCGGATGGTCGAGGCCGCCGAAGCATACGTCGAATCGTCCGTAGACACTTCCCCAGGCGGGCTCACGATCCCACGATTCCTTGATCTGCTTCAGCGCAAACGCAGGAATTGCCATCTTGCCGGTGATGATTTCGGGATGTCCCACTATATAGTCAGCGGCTTCGCAGCACATAGCAAAGACATCTTGCGCTGCGTTTTCGAAGAGCTCAATCTCCTCGGAGGTGAAGGAATAGTATCGGTCGTCCGGCCAGTAAGGGTCCGAGGGATCTCCCGGAGCAGGAGTCTTCGAATAAACGAGGCCTTGGCTCTGGACGAGCCGGGTGGCATTGGGACGCTTTTCCGTCTGTATCCGTCGCATTTCTGTCGTCCGTAGCGGTTTAACTCTGCAAAAGTTCCGTATATGCGGCCGCAGAGGACACTGCATTTATGTGATTGCCGGTGGTATATCACTAGACATAGCTCCTTACGTGTGGCCTTACACAACACATCGCCGAGGCTTGGCTTGCCTCTTTATCTCAATGTTCAATATAGGAAGCGGAGTCATTGCTAACGTGGAGTCCACACCTATATAGCAAGCAAACATGCAGGCGGTGCAGCCATAAACGAGTCAATCATAATCATCTCAATCTTGCTCATGACACATGAGTCTTCCTCCGCATCAATTTACGAATTGATATTAATTTCGGTGTTTGGATGTGAGTATGGAGGGACTTGGACGGTGACGATGGAAGCCCCAAGCTCCCTTAGGAAACTTATATATAACAAATGTTCTGCTGGGCCTTTGGAATAACAAACAGACGATCCCACCATCAGCTCGACGTAGCACACTGCCTTCCTACTGAGAAATCGGACAACAACACCTTCTATCGCAACCTTGAGCGAATATCACCATCATGAAGCACCACATCGCATTGCCCACACTGCAGCTCGCAGCCGCCGCTTTCCTCACGGCATCCGCTACCCCCATCGATAGCAAATACTGCGTGAAGGCCGACACAAACACCGTCGTGGCCATCGACAAGTGCGTCGGCGACCACAAGGGCTTCTCCTTGGTCGAGGGCCCGCCCGACGTCAAGTTCGGCCCCGGGCTACCGCCCGCGACCGAGACGAAGAAGGAGGAGCTGGAGACCGGCGGCTTCGGCCGCCGCGGCACGGAATGCGACGACCCGCAGTGCAGCGGTGGCTCTTAAGAAACGAACCTAGAACGGAATGAAATATGTCCTGTGACGGTGTTTAAGACCGACCGCTAATTTACATGGCACGGGATGGATTCGACAAGGAGAGGTTTGGGAATAGGGCGCGTTGGTGCGTTGGAACAACGTGGACCTGCAGGCTGCAATGACTGCAGGGGGAAAAGCGATGCGCCTTTTCTGACGCCATTCTAGTCCGATCTAATACATTCACTTCTGCGACTGTTTTTCGTTCCGGCCAGTGTCGTGGTCTCAAGTGCTCCGACGACGCCTATGCTTGACTGATGCCTAGATACATACATGTATGTAGCTTGTTCCGTGTAATAATTACCACCTAATACGGCAAATTGAGTAAGACAAATTACGCATTGGACGTAAGGAGTGTTTCATCGTGATCAGTTATAACTGGCGTTGAGCGGTGTAGGTATTTTTTTTTCTTTTTCACCACGAATTGGAGCTATTTTTAACGAGGGTGAACGTGACAGAGTACATGAGTAGGGAGATGGTGAAATCAGGGTCCCATTTGACAAGCAGGTCGAGATGCGCCGCCAAGAGATCGCCAAGGCATGAGGCAAATGCTTAATTCGACGAGTTGGAACCCGAAATAGAACGGACGTTGATCCTTCAACTTACTTCAACCATCTTCGAATCCATAATTGGCATCTTCCCGACTAACAGACCCAAGATGAACTGGATATGAGGCGGCCGAAGACGCTGTAAATCGGCGCAAGCTTGATCGCTGCCCTCAAGCTTCACAATTGAAATATCTGTGTCAATCACTGCATATCCATATTGTTTCGACCTCATCGCATATTGTTGAATGAACTTCTATTGACAGAATCTATAAAGATCTAGCTCCTCGACTCCTGCTTCCGTCCTCATAATACCATCTAGACGATCCAGCTAAATCCCCGAATACCGCAATATCGCCAGAGGTTTTCGTGCGCTGACTCATCCGTGCATGATCATGCTCTCGTGTAAGGCGGGGCGACGAATCGTTTATGAGGCGGGTTGGTGATATGTGGTCTTCGCTCCACAGCGACGGACGCATCATCGATGAATGTTGTGGGTTTGGTTGCGTCCTGCCATGTTAAGCTGGATCGAATAGACTAGCTACGTCTAGCAGCAGGCTTCATCGCAAGCGCAGAGACCGCAGCAGAATTCGCAGCCGGCCTCCTCACCGCCACGAAGGTTGCCGAATTCAGGCTGGGGCTCAGCAGACTGTTATACGTTAATTCACCACGTCAATTAGATTGCGTAGCTTGGCTTGACACTGGTACGACCTATGGTCCAGTCGGAGAAAAATGGAGAGAGAGACAATGAACTTACGGGCTGCTGCGTAACGACGCCGTCGGTGGCAGTCATCTCCATAGGAGCTTGTTGCTGGGGCTCTTGGGTTGCAGGCATTTTGATGAGTCTTCTGAAGGACTGAATTGATTTGCAAATAGGGAGTGACTGAGTATCTGAAAATGGACGACTTTGGTGGGCAGAATAGCAGACGAGAACCGAAGCGGTGAGAATCCCCTCTTATGTATCAATAGGAGAAAATGGGAGGCAGCCAACTCTTTATCTCAAGTGTTAACCCTACGGCTATCACGGCATGGGGGGAGAGGGTAAGTACCCAATATGGTCCAATATGATCCTACGACCGTCGCCCGCAACTTCCTTGGGATGCACAAACGTCCGTGGGCGTATTAGAACAGGGGCTGGACCCCAGAAGGAGAGACTTTGATACCTACCTCGTAGCTTCCTAGGATAGCTCGTGCGAAACCCTTGCCTAGTTGATTGGAGACGGCGCGATGCCGCCCACCTGCAAGCCACCAAAGCTTGACGGTGTTGGTTGCGTCCGTGGTCCTAGGAAGATCCCCATAAAAGTACTTAAGTATTACGGAGTCATAAACGACCGGATTGTATAGCACATGTACGAGACGAATTGTGGTGATTGTGGTTGTAATAATGGTTCCAGTCTTAAGCATAGCTTAGCTTCAACCCAATGGGTTTCGTGCCAATATGGAACACGCCGTGTACCCGCCTATCTGCATTGTCACCCCAACTTAGACGGAGTTGCAGCGTAGAGAACCAATCATTTCTCCACGATGACTGACTTTGGGTTGTGGTATGGGGAA